GCTCAAACCAGGCAGGGCACCGAAGTCCCAGGCTGGCAGGGCAGGAAAGCAGGGGCAGAAGTAGTCTTGGCACATCAAGTGGCAGCTCCCAAGGGGGTTTCTGTGAGCCATAAGCTCTGATAAAAAGTGTCACTCGCCCATGGGTGATCCTGGGTGACTTCCTAGAACCTGTCAGCAAAGGACCACTCATGGGTCATTCTAGCTTCTATGGGGATCCCCAGCAGATGATGATGTGAATATGCAAGTTCTGATGCTTGTATTATCTCTATCTACTTTGCTACGTTGTAGTGTTTGTGATATTGCTGAGTCTGCTAATAAAACTATCACAAATTCAGAAGATCTTCCCTAAGTGTGTGCGTCTCTCCCACATAGTTTGGGAGTGAGGACGCCAGTGTAACTGTAACACTGTGGCGGATCTCAAGGCAACGGAGCTCTGCCAAATCACGTAATGTTAGTTGGAAACTCTAAATATCACCTAACCAATAGCTCAAGCAATAGATTTCATAGCAAGACATGCTGAGGACAGCCTAAGCTCTTAGCTGCTTCCTTCTGTTCGTCCAATAAGGAGTCCAGGATAGAGTTAATGGAAAGCCATAAACAGTTATATCAGGACATGACAGCTTGATAATTTGCCACATGGAAACCCACAGAAGTAGAAGAATAGACCTTTTCTACAATAGCATCCAGTCTATTCCCTTTTCTATCCAAGGGAACACACAAGGATGCCCTGTTACTTTTAAATAATTCCTGGGCTGCAGACACTGACATGGATAATCAGCCAAGGAATGTTGTAACAATTAATAAATAAATTTAAAAAAAAAGTGTGCCTCCAATTGTATAGGATACATACAATTAGCCCCCCCTGCTCCAAATATACTGGTGGTGAGGACACAGGAGAGTGCCAAATGTACTTTGCTGGACTGAGTAGTCCTCGGAGAATAGGAAGTGTGATCTTGCCTTTTGTCTGCCATTCCATGATATTACAAAGAGGATCAGATGTGTCTGGTGCCAAAACTCCCATCTGTAACTGCAGGGTAATAGCCATCCTTCCCACCAGCTCCTGAAATTGCTTCTATTCATTTGCAGGGGAGACAAATGAAGTCCCAATTTGATCCTTAAAGGACATACCATCAGTATATTCTTTGATTGGTGACTGCTGCACTTCCTGTGAAGGGACTCTCCTCCCAGTCGTCATACACGTGTCACTCTTTGAGGAGGCAATGATGCTTGTGCCAGCACTGATGGCACTGGCCAGATCTGTGCTTACTGAAACATGAAGGCAGTGGTGCCTGAGAAGACCAGTGCTGGGAAAGCTCTTGGCACCAATGGAGGTGCCTCCAGTGCTGCAAGGGGCACTGGTGTCAGCGTTATCACCAGTGCTGAAATAGGTGCCATGTTGGTTTTGATAGCACTGAGCAAAGCCTTCACTGAGTCCTGAAGGCACAGCCACATTAACAGGGGACCTGGCATCTTTCCAGGGAAATGGAACTTTCAGCAAGGGAAGATAGCTAAGGCTCTCAGGAGCAAATTGTAAGAGCTTGTGTGGTCAGTTTAGAGGGAATCCCATGCTCCTCAAGGGCATTCTGGATCTATACCAATGACAAATATTTCAAGCAGCAGAGACAAGCCAAAAGCTTTGAAAGAGGTCCCTCAGTCATGAGATGGGAAATCAACTGTGTTAGAGAGATGTGCACCGCTGAGATGACTAAATCACTCAAGTACAGAACCTCAAGTTGAGGAGACGTGTGTGCCAAGTGCAGTGATGAGACTGGTAAGGAGGTGACAAGCAACAGGAGGAGGAGGAAAGCAATACCACCCTCCTCTTTTTTTCCTTAGGCTCCTTTTGTGAATCAATGCTTCCTCTTTTCCTTTCACTTCCCAAGAACAGGTTACAAGGAGATCTGGAAGCGCTTCTCTCACTCTTGGAACCAACTGGTGTCAACTCTAATGGTGCTGTGTGTGAGTTTTCAGTGCCAACAGCAGCGTGGACGTAACGGTGTTGCTAGAGTAGTCTGTTTTGATGGAGCTGGGGGCCGACACTAAGGGCGGAAAGGTGTGTTTCAGGACTCTTCACAGAAGACCTCAGCACAGAGACAGACCTCACAACTCAAAAAAGGAGTTGTAGAACAGTCCAGTTGAAGGTTTAAGACAGTCAAATGCAGTTGCAGTCTTAAGTCTCTGAACTTCCTTATCTGAGGGGTGAAGAAATGGCAAATAAATAGTGCATTGAGACTCTATGTGAGCCTCTCCCAGGCATACTAGACACCAAATGTGTGCATCTTGTCTCAGGAAAGATGGCTGAACCCTCTCTGAAGTTTGGGACCCAGCATAGCTCAGAGATAACCCGAGGCAAGTGGCTCCAGATACTCTAACTATACTATAGAACTCTAATGAAGTAACTATGAGGGATGACAGATCTCACCACTGGGCCACCACCCAGCAGCTCACTGGAACCAGCAGAGAAGGGGGCTAAAGGAGCTCTAGCTCACCAAAGGTTCTGCCCATGAAGTTCCTGATTGGGTGAATCATCTGGCCCCACCAATTGGCTCACATGCACTACTTAAGCCAGAAGAAGGCACAAGAAGTCGTCCAAGCAACTAGGTGGATCTCTGCCTGCCACTTCGGACCCTGCCTTCTTGCTTGACTCCTGTGCTCTATACTTCTGCCTGTTCCTGTCCACCTTATCCCAGATCCGCCTCTGTTCCCGGTTCCCACTTTTCTTGCTCCAAGTCCCTGCTCCTCCACCCTATCCAATGCCAGCTTTGCCCCCTGGTTTAACTCCTTACTCCAACTCCAGGTTGGCTCCTGGCTCATCCTTAGTCTGACTCTGACTTCACTCCTTCACTTGACTTTGGACTCTCTGTCTCAAGCTCCAACCGCTGGTTCCAGTTCCTGGCTCCTGACTGACTACAAGTCATGACTGCCAATACTCTGATCCCTACAGTAACTAATAGTAAAAAGCTAACTAGCTTGTGGACATGAGAGAGTTCCATTCAGCTCTCTGCAGAGGCAGCAAAGGAACTGTGTCACTCCAATGTATAGAGAGAAGCAAGGACATCATCCTAGTGGGAGAGCACTCTTGCACCCCTCAAAATACATGGCTTTTCTATGCAGTTCATAGCTCCATGTCAGAGGTGCCAAATCCCGTAAGTGGAAATGCACAGAGCCCTCGAAGGATTCCCCATTACCCTAACTCTGTGCCTATCTGCTCCTTTCTTGTATGCCAGCAACATGAAATCCTATTAACTGAGCATTTCAGGATATTTGCACCTGATCACCTGCCATCATAGAGAAAATTTTCACAAATGTTTGTAACTGTAAAGTGGCAACCACATCATATCTTTTCAAAAATTGGCTTTGATATTGTTTCTATTTTAAACACTGCTAGTCAACAGGAAAACTTGATTTGGTGGAACCTTTACTGCAATTACAATGCTAAAGAAAATATTATGTAGGGGCCATCCTAAGGATGAAATGCAAATCTGTAAAGCATTCTATGAAGAAAAATAATAAAGCTGTAAGCAGGTCACTTGGAACACATTATTGTAACTTTCAGAGCATTTGGCTTGCCAACACTGGGAGACAAGGTGGATGAGGTAATATCTTTTATTGTACCAACTTCTGTTGTGAAAGAGACTAGCTTTCAAGCTATAGAGAGTTCTTTAGATTTCCCGTTACCCAGTGAAATCACTAAGAGCTGGGCTAAATGATGGAGCCTCAGAATATAGCAGAAGCGGCAGTGAGCAGCAAGCAGCAGCGATAAGTGGCAGAGCTGAGCAGCAGCAGAGATAACAGTGGCAGAGGTGAGAGCTAGAGCCCTACACGTGACTATTTTTAATCCGACTCCTGTCCCGCTCCCATTATTATGGCAGTGGACCCTGCAGGACCCCACAGGATCCCAGTCCTGCACCGGGGGAATTGGCAACAGTGAGACAGTTGTAGAGGCAGCAGCAGCAGCATCCTTTCAGGGCTGGGAAGTGAAGCCATGTGAAAGCACCTCTGAACTCTAGGTCTTCAGTGACCAAGCACAACCACTGTGAGTGAGGTGCAGCGGAGGGAAAGAGGAGTGGCATGTTAAAGGCCCATTCGTTCATTGGACTTTCATACCACCAGGTGGGATACTGAGGCAAAGGACGCTGCCCAATGTACTGTGGGGTGGGTGTTTGCTTCCAGTTACATGCTTTTGAATCATGGTTGAAGTGTTTTCCCAAATTAATGCTGGGTTCCCTTTCCCTTTTAATAAAAAGTTTTCTTTTGTTATACACAGGCTCAGTGATTGACAGTGGGGAAGGACTGCCTCTTAGAGATGCCCAGGGATGGTGTTCTATTTTCCCAGATTATTGGGTGGGGGCTAGAACTAGTTCTGTTTTGTAGTATTAAGAGGAATCCCCAGATATTGAACCTGGTCCTTGCTGCTGCTGACTTGAACTGGCAGAAGGGTAGCGTAGCTCAAACACTTCTCTCTTTCACCAACAGAAGTTGGTACAATAAAAGATATGACCTCACCCACCTTTTCTCTCTAATATTCTGGGACCAACATGGCTACAATATCACTGCAAACAACACTGATAATGTTTCTTGACTGTTAACAAAAGAGTATCACAAAAGAGTGCAACAATTTTATTAATCAAATTATGAAGATCTAATAAAAAAAGAACCCCATCATTTAAACAAATATTCCAAACAAATTACCAAAATCCAGATTCTGATACTCTCATTCAAGTTGAGTAGTCTCAATGACTTCAGTAGGACTACTCAGGGAGTAATCAGCATGAGGGAAAGATATCAGAATCTAGCCTCAGATAGCTTCTGGCGGTTCCACTCAAAAGAACAGGCATGCAAATTAAAAATGATAGCCAATTATATTTTCAATCAATCAATCTAGTCCATTGCAAAACTTCTTGTCCAGCACAGTTCTAAATGTAAAGTTCTAGAGAAACAGATGGAAGATATTCTACATGTCTAAAACAAAACAAGAAAACGGAAAGGAGAAAGATTACCTTAGTAACTGAACAGCTGATCCATATTCTTCTGTTTCCCACACTCTCTTTCCCAAACATGCACAGTACAGCTCTCTGATCTATGAACCAGTATATGAGTAAAGGGAATACAATGTTTTACAAAACAAGTAATGGGTTAGTTTTACATTCACTTTTCAAAACAATGACTGACTCATTCAAAGAGTGATCCTGTGAGGAGCTGAGTGCTCTCAACTCTCACTAACTGCAATTTGAGGTGAAGGCATTCAGCATCTCTTGGGACTAGGCCCTCAGTGTGGCAAGAATATGCTTGCCGCTCAGCACTATGTTTTAACAGGGTCCATTCAGGTGATGGGAATGCAGGGATTAGAAATGAACCTGAATCAAAACCTCTGATTCAAACATTCCACATTCCCAAACATTAGGAAAATTCAGAGTGAATTCACAGCTAAGATCCACATCTAGTAACAATGTATCTGATACATCTAGAATCAATGTGGAAATGCACATCATGGAATGTTCTGCAGCATTAATAGGAGAATGTGGGACAAAAATAACTGCTTGGTATGAGAAGTTGAGTTTGGTCATACCAGAGCTCTAACGCAAGTCAATATACAACTAACTACTAAGAATACCCATGACTGTCCCATCACTGCTATGTTGTTCCTGCCAAAAGGATGTTTAATTCTCATCTGAATCTAACCATTAGGCAACCAGTTGATTGATGATAGGAGGAATGGAAAATTGTCTGTACTACATATGAGAAATCCAGATGCATAAAAGCCAAACACCTCACACAGGCACTGGCTGTTCTGTGCATCTGCTTCTCCCTACAAGCCCTCTGCTGTTTACTCACAACAAAGTATTACAGGCATTGTTAAAGAAATGATGTGCTGTTCCCCCAGTCCATAATAAAGAGAAAAATATCTGACTGTATGTGGGAAGGGCATGGAGGAAAAGAGGAGTGGAGAGGGAAGGAAGGAGTGGACTTCAAATTTGTAAAGATGTCAACCATGAAACAAGAGAGATCCAGGGAATGATGGTACTTCACCTGTTTGCCCAAAGGGTACTTTGGAAGGGAAGTTGTGAAAACATGAAGACATCTCAGAACTGTGAAATAATTCTCATGGTAAATATGCAAGTCTTCCAGTAATGTCTGTGTTACCTCCTAAAACGACAGAATAACAGTTTAACAAAGTAGTTCAATATCCACCAGAACAAAGCAGTATGAAAATCACAAAATATTTTAAGGGAACACTAAAGTTCTGACAAACTAGGAGGGACTGATTTACATCAAAGTGATTTTAATCATGATTTAAATCAACAAGCAGGAAATCTTGATTTAAATAATTGATTTCAATCTTGTTTCACATTTGTACCTTTTTAGTTATTTTCCTAAAGAAAGATTCATTCTCATTGGTTGATATAATCATTAAAACATGTTGATTTGCAACTAAATATGGTCTTTATACTCGATTTGGTACTTCTTTTTGCTAATCAGCAGGACAAACTGTATCTATACACATTTATTTAAGCAATTATATGTCTCAAAATACATTTATTCAGATTCTTATTTTTTCAGATTTTTATTATGTTAGAAATGATGTATTTCCTAGATGATAATGTCTTACTCATGCTTTGTGTCAAGCTGCATTTGGACAGAAATTGGAATTAAATTAAAAATGAACAAAAACCAGCAGTTTAATTTAAAACTGATTTATTAAAACAAAGGAAATATTAAATGTAGTTAATGACTTGACAGATTGAAAACCTGGCCCATGGTGACCAGAAAAAGGTATTTAGAGACAAAGATTTTCAAAAGTGCCTGAGCAGTTTACATGCCTAATTCCCACTGAAATCAATGAGAGGTAGGCACTGGACCTACTTAAGCATTTTTGAAAATCCCATTAGGTGCCTCTGCATTTTTAGGTGACTAAATACCTTTGAAAAGCTATCCTATGTCCTTCAAGTTTTTAGAATTAGTAGATCTCATCCTCGCCAGCTGGTTTTTATTCATAGACTGGAAGAGGTAAACAAGCTTTTCTGCTTTTTCAACTCCTAAATGGTTTCTCAACTTTGAATGAACTAGTCCAAGTGAAAAAAAATATATATTCTCCCTGCACTTGCTAGCTCAACTGAAAGCAATACTAATTAAGGCAAAAGCTTTTCTGCACAACAAAAACGAAGTACTTATATTTGGAAAAATGTAAATAACATTCGCTCCATTGTAAAGACTGAAAATAATATAGATAACTTACTTATGCAGCACTTGGATTTATAACACTGAGACTGGAAGTACATCAGTTGTAAATGAACAAAAAGGTCATAGTTCTGTTTCTGCAGATAGGGTGATTCTGTTCTAAAACTCCCAATCTAGGGTAGACAGGACTACAGTAGCTTTAAGCTATCTTTCTGCCCTCCTGATCCTGGGTTGCTCTCAGGGAGGGAAGGCCCACAGTGTACCTTAGATAGCCCTTGGTGTCTGTCTAAACTACACATTTTCCCCAGATTGCCCCAAGGGTGGGCCACAGCACAGCCTCGAATCCCCAGAGTGCTGTGCATTGCAGCATTGTCCCTAACATGCCCATCCTGCCCCCAGCACATCCCCTGTGCTAGAGCTTACAAGGGAGTCCTTGGAAGGCAGCCTCATGGAAATCTTATGAAGTGCCTGTGCCCAAGGAATCCTCCCCTGACTACATACAGAGCTTTTAGGGTTCCTTTTATGCTGTTTTGGCCCTTTTTCCTGGCATAAAAGAACCACAGCAGGGCTGAGGATCTCAACCACAGTGTAAACCTATAACTAGTCTCTCATCATCTAAGTGGTTCCTGTTATATTAAGGAATAAGTAAAGCTAGGTCAAGTATCTTTTTTTGGATGGCCAGGAATCAATGATGTCTATCCTAGCCTGCCATTCCACCACTTTTGCTTTAAAAAGACTCATTAAAAGCAGACTTATTCCATACATGTGTGCCCTTGTATTTTGTTGAACATATAAGAGATCTCTCTTTCTGTTCTCAGATATGCAGGCTGTGAAACTGATTAGTGCAGATGGCTAACAAAATGCCCAATATAAAACCTCAGAAAATTTAACATATTAAGATATTTTCAAAGTTCTGCTCTGAGTTTACAGAAATTGACATATAATCCCCACACCTCTGCATAAATAGCACATTTCTACAGAGATCGGAAAGCATTTTTTTAATTCAATTGCAAATTAATTCCGTTCTGAATGATAAATACAAAGGAAATGCATTTTGGGGTAAAAGTAAACATTGTCAAATGAAATATCAGGTGCATATGATAAGGACACACACACACACAATCTGAATGGATTTAATGACTATAGGCCATTTCTGCCACCCTTACTCACAGTGAGATGAACCTTACTCCTCAAGAAGTCCCACTGATTTTGGTGTAAAGATGTCAAAATCTGGCCCTAGATAATAGTGTCGGAGTTCTGCTTGATAAATAAAGGCTTTGCTGATTTTTTGTTTGTTATTCTCTTATAACAACTATACAACTATTAATAGTATTATTTTCCTAAGACTAAGCAATTTAACACTGAAGCTGGGAGTCTAAACTAGACATATGAATGCAAAAAACAGAAATGGAGTATGAATTACTGTATATACTCGTTCATTAGCCTGTTTGTTTATAAGCTGACCTCTCAAGATGGATAAGTAAAAATAGCAAAAACTGTATGACCCTTTCATAAGCCGACCCTGTATTTCAGGGGTTGGAAAACTTTGGCTCCCAGCCCGTCAGGGTAAGCCACTGGCGGGTCGGGACGTTTTGTTTACCTGGAGCGTTCACAGGCACGGAACCCCTCAGCTCCCTGTGGCCGCGGTTCGCCGTTCCTAGCCAATGGGAGCTGCGGGACTTACAAAACGACAATGTATTCGATATTCAATTCAATGATTCCATAGTTTAAAATCATCAAATTTTGGTGTAGACCCGTTTATAAGCTGACCCCCGCTCTTTCACGTGTCACTTTTTTACCAAAAATATTCGGCTTATGAACGAGTATATATGATAAATACCACAGATTCAAACACCTCTGGGTACTGGCAAAGATTTGATTCAATTCCAAAGTATGTCACGGAGCTTAGAGCCACAAAGAACACTGAACCAATGTGGGGTGATCTTGAAAAGCTCAGTGCTAAAACTAATTGTTCTGTTTTCATTCAAACTTTCAAAAATGACTTTGGTCTTGGGTTCTATTCTTCATACCACAATTACATATTTGGGTAAGATAAATCAATAGTGTAGATGAAAGAACATCCAACAGTAGCTCTGATTTTTTCCCCTGGTGCCACATAGCTCCTTGGCATAGCTATAACTTTAACAAGCAGTGCCTTGTGGCTGATGGATCTAAAGCCAAATCCTTTCCTTCTGATACATGACAGTTTTTTTTCATTTGATGGACAATAAGTTCATAATGTCCTTTCTGTTATTAAGGAAACAGAGCAAGTGAGGCAATGACTGGACTGAGATTAAACATTTGCATTACTGTGACTTGGATCGCTATTTTCTTGGTACACAGACAAGGAAGCTGGCATTTCCTTAGCAGATGTCTTAAAACAAAATAGTTTCATTCCACTCCATTCTGGAAGGATTGTCTAGTATGAGATCATATCCTTCACTATTCAGGCACTTGTGTCAGAATTTAAAAATTAACAAAACAAAACAAAAAACATCACAAAAAACTATTTAGTGTAATTGCATTTCAATCTTTAAATAAAATAAGATACTTCCCAAATGAAGAATATTGGGTCTAGTTTTATGCAAGCTTTATATTTTGTAAGACGGGGAAACAATGGGAAAATTAATGAGGCAGTGTTATTGGTTGCAGCTCCCCAACCTTCTAGCAGAGGTTATAGTTACTATGAATCCTGTTTTCCAGGAGAGAAAGATGAACTTAAATCATTGTAGACATGAAGGGGGTTTTTGATCTGTGGAAGAGTCTTAAATCCCAAGATGGTGAAATGGTGTTTATGATGAAACTCAGTTTAAGTCTTTTTGGACATTCAATATTAAAATTGATGCTTCCTTTGTTTTAAGCTTTTCAATCCATTTGTAGAATGCTCAAATGGGACATCAATAAAATATAATAAACCTTATTTGAAGGGCAGAACAGAAAGTTCTGTCAGCTAGACCAAAATAAAGAGCATAGGGGGATTTATTGTTTTTAACTCCTCTGTGAATTGTAGAAAGAAAAATCATTCACTTGGCTACACGCTGACTTTATAGATCCTTTTCTGGCTGACTGCAGAGTAAGTAATACTCCATCAGAGAATTTATATGTTTAGATTCCTCCTCTCAGCAGCAGCCCATGTGCAGAAGAGGTTATTGCAGTAATGGTTGGTTATTTTACTGGGGGAGGAGGGAGAAGAGTTATTGGCAAGATGAATTTAACTGTAACAATTCAGTATCTTCTAGGTCAGTGTGGGATTATAGAAGCTGTTTTCCAAACTGTCTTAGTTTGAGATCTTACGATCAGTAGCACAGAAAGACATCAATCAGAACAACATCTTCATGACTTCTGAAAGATTGCTTGTCAGAAACTTTCTAGCTTGGAATTATATGTGGTGGCAAACAGATCTGTGACAGAGATGAAACATCTGATCAGAGACTAGTTGTTTCAATTCCCCCTCATGAAGGCAGATCTTTATCATTCCAAGGACTTCTGCTTGGCATTTCATGGCTGTTAGAATATGGATTGTTGTCAAATGGATAGCACTTCCTTGGAAGTATTGCACAAGTTGCCAGGTTTCACAGCAATGGGCTTGTGATCTGCTACCTCTTGGTTTGTTTACTAAGAAAACTTCCTCTCTTATTCTACTGCAGAAATACTAATAGGACAGATCACAATAAAATGTGAACTCATTATAAATAAGTAGGTTCTCTCTGTCTGCTTTAAGAATTTCTCCTTAAGAGACAGCTGACTAGCTAATTCCAATTCTGTATTCCATGACTGCATTCAGAATACAAAAAAAAAAAATATATGCATCTTTTGGCTCTGTGAAAGCCATCCCACTCTCTGGTTATGAGATTTCCATTATCTGTCACACATCAAATTTTCAGGAAAAGTGACCAATAATAAAGTCCAGATTTTATAAATCCAGGGAGGCCTATATGAAACTGCAGAGATACTCCTCAACTTCCAAGCAGGCAACTTGGAAACATAGATAATGGCCATAATAAATCAGACCAATGGTCCATCTCCAGTATCCTGTCTCTAACAATGGCTGGTACCTGATGTTTCAAAGGAAGATGCAAGAAACTCCAGGATAACCATACCATAGAAGAAATTTATTAACTCTGTCAGTTAGTAGCTGGTTTATGCTCCAAAGCCTGAGAGTTTCTCTATTTTTATAATCCTATCTAATAAAATGTGGATGCTTTCATAAACCATACAAACATCTAAACCGTTTTCCAGTTATATTTGTGGCAATGATTTTCACAGGTTAGTTATGTGTTCGGTAAAGAAGTATTTCCTTTTATCAATTTTAAATGTATTGCTTGCAATTGAATGTCCCCGTGCTCTTGTGTTATGGGAAAGGATAATAAGGAGCGCATGATTTATCTTCTTAAACCATTGGTTATTTTGTTTATCTTTCTCATGACCCCTCTAATCCATCCCCTCTCTAAACTAAACAGTAACAGCCTTTTCAATCTCTTTTCAGAAGGGACTCTTTCAAAAGCAACAATCATTTTTATTGCCTTCCTCCAAACCCCTGCTGTCTTTTTTCAGATGGGATGACCACAGCTGAACACAGTATTCCAAGTGATGGTAATATCATAATTTTATATAAAGTCATTATAATATTTTCAGTATTACTGTTGATTCCATTCTTTATACATCTTTTCTTTTTGTTTGGTTGTTTTTTTCTTTTCCCCCCCACCACAGCTGTACACAGAGGAACAGACCTCCCCCGCTACACCCACCCAAGTGATTGCAATTGATTTAGAACCCAGCAATATGCATAAATAGTTCAATGATTACTTCTGATTTGCACTAACATTTATCAACACTGAATTTCATCAGCCATCATGCTGCCCATTCACCAAGCTTTGCTCACAGTCTTCTATAGTCTCCCCATCAGACTTCCTTTCTGCCTTTGACTCCTGGCACAGAACTCTTTCTCTCCTGAGAATCTCCCACATTCATCCTCTGCGACTTCAGCTTCCATGTTGATACCCATCTGACCCCTTAGCCGCCCATTTCTTGTCCTCATCTCTTCATTTACCTGCAGCATTCTTTCAACTCTCCCACTCATCAAAAAGGCCATTCCCTTGAGTTGGTCTTCACCAAGCACTCCTCTCTCTCTGATCTTTCTGTTGCTGAGTTCCCCTATTTGGAACATCACCTGGTCTTTTTCAGTGTCACCCATGAGCCCTTCTTCCCATCTCGTCACTCAGCCTTTCAGTGACTTCATCCATCAACACTGATGATTTCTCATCTACTCTCAGCCCTCTCCACCCTGCCCTCTCTTCCACCAATAGAGTTGTTTATTCTCTGCATGCTTCACTATCTTCCACTTGTTTTTGCCCCTCTCTCCATTCACAGTGTCTGCCCTACTAACCCCTAGTGCTGACTCACCCTAATATCTGCTGCTTCTGCTCTTACACTGCAGAGCATCTCTGGCAGAAATCCTGTGACCAGGCTGACTTCCTCCAGTACAGATATGTTCACTACTCTTCAGATTTGCCATCTTCCTAGCTAAACAGCTCTACTACTCCAATTTAACTGAATCCCAAGCCTGCAATTTCAGTCACCTTTTCACTATCTTGGACTCATTCCTCAAAGCTTTCCTTCCTCCATTTCTATTCTCTGCACAGGATCTTGCTGCTGTCTTCCAAGAGAAAACGGACGAAATAGGACAGGGAACTTCCCCCTCCCCTCAGCATGCCTCCTACAATTCTCTCCTCCTCCCATCACAGAAGCATGAAGTTTCTCGTCTGCTATCCTCCTCTAACCCCTCCACCTGCCCCAGTTACGCGATCCCATTCCATCCCCTGATCTCCCTCACACTCACTCCCTTAACTGTTCTCCTTAACCTCACTCTCCTCTGTCTCTTTCCTTTCAAATACAATCACTGTTCCACTGTACTTGATTCCACTTGCCTCTCCAACTATCGCTGCATCTCCCTTTCTTCTCTAAATTCACTGAACATGTCATCTATAAGCACTATCCAGTATTCCTCTCCTCCAATTCCATCCTAGACCCTCTAATCCAGTTTCTGCCCCTCGTACTACGTTAAAACCAGTTTGTTAAAGTCTCTAATGACCTCTTCCTGGTCAAAGCTCAGAACCAGTACTCCATCTCCTCCTCCTTGACAAATGAGCTGCCTTCAACACTGGCAACCATGCTCTTCTTGGAGTCTTGTCCTCCCTTGGCTGCTTCCATGACTCTGTCCTCTCCTGGTTCTCCTTCTATATCTCTAATCACTCCTTTAGCACATGCTTTGGAGGATCCTCCTCAACTGCCCTCCAACTTTCTCTGGGGGTTCCACATGGTTCTGTCCTCAGTCCCCTTGTCTTCTACTCTCCTTCTAAGCTTTATCTCTGCAAACACAAATTCAACTTCCAATGCACCTCCATGCTGATGACCACAGACCTCTACTCCGGATCTGTCTCTCTACTCCGGATCTGTCGCCTTCTGTGCAAATTAAAATCTTGGCCTGTACCTCTGGCCTCTGATGTCTCCTTTTGGATGTCTAGCTGTCATCTCAAGCTCAAAATTGCTAAAATAGAGTTCTTAATCCTCCCTCCACATCTCCTTTTTCTATCACTGTGAACAAAACCACCGTCTTGCCTGTCACTCGGGCCCATAGTCTGTGCATCATCTTCAACTTAGACCTCAGTCTAGGTCCTTACATCCAGTCAGTGTTTAAATTTTGCTATCTCCATAACATCTTTAAGACATGGCCTATCCTATTCATCCACACAGCTAAAATTCTAGTCCATCCTCTCATCATTTCTAATCTTGATCCGTGCATATCCCTCTCTTTGGTCAGGATGAATGCAATCTTACCCTGCTCATAGCCATCCAGAATGCTGCTCCATAGGTCATTTTTCTAGCTTGTTGCACTGGCTGTGTCACCTCTCTCTTTGGATCCCTCCACTCACTTCATCTTCTTTATCATCACATTAGACATAAGCTGCTTGTCTTCACTTTCAAGGTTCTTCATGGCCTGTCCCTACCCTACTGATCATCTCTCATCCTCACTTCCAACTGGCCCATGATGCCAGCTTTCATCGCCCACTTGCTAAATTTTCAAACAAGCGCCTTTGTGCTTTCTCCCATGCTGCCCCTCATACCTGTGAGGAGCTCCGATAAACAGCTGCAAAGCTACCCTATTATCCACCTTCAAATCCCTACTTAAAACTCTCCTTTGTCCATGAAGGCTACAAAAAACTTGACAACAGTTTTCACTGCTGGTATACTGATACTACTGCCTATCATGCTGTGGTTTCATGAGTATCCTGTGGTCTCATGAGTATGGTCTCAATATTTCCTTGTACTCCCGACTCCTGTCTCATACTTAGATTGTAAGCTCTTTGGGGCAGGGTCATCTTTTTGTTCTGTGTTTGTACAAATGTAACATAATGGAGTACTGATCTATCACTGGGGCCCTTAGGTGCTATATTAATACAAATAATTAATAACTTAACTTTGGAATGAGGTGGTATATCAGCCCAAAGGTGCTGAGCAGATCAAATGTCACTCAGTCAGGGAAGGCGCGTAAGGCCTTCACTAAGGCATGGCAATGTCTTCAAAAGTCCATATAAAAATGTTTTAGAGAAACAGATTATATCCCTTCAAATGTTCTGCTAGCAGCCTGGAGATATAGTTAGCTTACAAGTAAACCTTGTCGCTCCCTTATGCACTTGTAATCTTGAACACTTTATTCAATATACTTTAACATGATTTAGCCCCACCAACACTGGCTGGCAAAAACATGTTAAAACGGTTTAATCCTGAAGTGGTTTTAAAATGTTTAAAACTAGACTGGAAACTAAAAATGCAGATTTAGGCAACTAACAGAAATGCTGATCCTTGGATTTTATGGCAGCCTAGGTGCTCTCTTGGTAGGAAAAGAGCATACTCAAAATGAGTACAGGATAAACTTGGTCTCCTGAGTTAACATCTCTCTGTAAAACAAATTTTTATGCCTATGGCAGTGTGAGAGTCATGGCTACACCTATAACATTTACTTACACTGTCACTTATCACTTGTATCTAGCTCATTTTGTAAAACATTTATATTGGACCTGCATCTGAAGATTTTAAAAGTGTTTTACAAATTAAGGCCCCAGTCCTGAAATTCTGTTTAGCGTGAGTGAACACTTTGTATCCATAGGGAGTCTGATTGATTTTAATGGAGATCTACACAAGGTACAGGAGCCCACATATGGAACAGCCTGCAGGATTAATTATTCGTCCCTTGTTCTGGCAAACACTCCATTGAGTTTCATGGGTTTTTTTGCCTGAATAAGTAGTAAGAGTGGGTCCTAAATAATTGAGCCCCACAACCTCCCTGGTAATTATTTTACCCATTTTACAGATGGTAAACTCAATGCACAGAAAGGCTGAGGGACCTGCCCAACACACCACAGAGTAGAATTGGGACTATCATGTAGCTCTAAAGCCCAGCTCTCAAATCATTAGACATGTTTTAGGATATCTACAAAATGAAAGATGCTACACAGAACCAAGTTCTACCTTAGTTTTCTATCCCTTTTCATGCAAAAAGATGGGGGGTTTAGAAGGTTGTTCCTATCCCCCAAATGATTTTACACTTTACCTTTAAAAAACTGTCCTCAGTCAGAAGTGCAATTTGTTTTTCTGAGACTTGATTTTCCACATATCTGAAGTAAAAACCAAACAAAAATATTGGTATAATATAAAGTTACACAATACATAGTTTTAAAAATGGTGGTGGTCAGGATTCTGTTGGGTCTGTGGCCACTACAAAATCCTGCAGTTTAAGTCCTGGGTCTGCCATAACTTCTCAACTGATTAGATCATTTGTCAAAAGAATATGTTTCTACACGAAGGACAAAAGGAAAAAATGGATCTTTCAACAGAAGGATTTTACAGCAGATTTTCCACAAAATAAAAGCTGCATTCTTTAGACAAGAGAGATTAAAGAATTTCAGAAGTAATTCACAACTGTCCCTGTTTTGTGTAACATACGCACATATAATTACACATTTCACAATGCTGTATTTACAAGTATTTTTTTAAAAAATGCTCATTGAATATAGGACTGTTCAAAATATTTATTTCTCCTTTACCTTCTAAAAGATGGCAGGCTTCGAATGTTTTCACACTGATTGTGAGATAAAGAATTTACTCTCTTCTTAGCTTCCAGGAGCTGGCAGCACAACACACTGAGGGGCTGGGAATAGAAATGCTCCACAATAGACAGCTGAAAGAGACAATGCAGTAAAAACCTGTAATATCTATGCAGTTCACTTTCCTTGCGGTGTCCTAGCATTTAAATAAGCTAAGCAATTTATTAACAATTGCTAAAATGACATTTATTTAAAAATTTTAGAGTCTACTCAGTCAACATATCAGATTGCATTAATAATCTTCTACTTTCCATTGTCACTAGAGGTGGTTGATTATTATTCAATGAATACTACAGGCAACCTCATTTTGCCATTTTCTGCTGCCCATATCATTCAGTCAATTGCTTTTTGTTTTATACGAGATCTATAGCTGCTCAATTATTACTTGATTTATTTATTCTTTGAATAACAGAAAAATTCAGCAATTACATTAGGTATTACATAATTTGTTGGGTTATGTGACCAGGCCCAACCTCACAAATGCCAAAGCACCAAGTAAAGAGTGTATCATTTAAGGCACAAACGTTAGCTAGACTGCATTAAATGAAGCAGTGGAACATGACAAGATCCCACATTTCACATATCTGAAATCATACCGCTAGGCCCTGATCCTGTAAACATTTACACATGTGCTTAACTATGCTACTTTGAGTTGCTCCACTGATTTTAAGTGTGTAAGTGTTTGCAGGTCTGGGGCCTTACAGTATAGTAGAAAACATCCTTCTGACAATGCAATGTTTTTGAAAGACTGCACCACAGTCATTCTGGGGAAAAAAAAAAAAAAGTAGTAGTACAAAAACTGGGCAGGTATATTGAGGTGGAAAGCTTTTTCCTGTCACAAAGTTCTTTATGATTGAAGTTTTTTTAGTATTAGCATGCAAAATTGAAAGGCATCAAAGAATACCTATAAAATTAATACATACAAAATTTGTTTCTACCATTTCAGGTAGATTCTCTTTTTTTCTTTCTAATTTTTTATTCATACGATTGTGCCACAGAATAAGCGGTTTCTAAACTGCCTTCCCACAATTCCTACTAGCTTCCCAACAGCTTTCCCATTTCCAAAAAAAACCTACCTAGAGACCTGATTTCAGTTATAGTATTCAATGGGAATTTTGCCACTGACTTCAATGGGAGTAAAATTAGGCCATAAAAAATTGAGTACAAGTCTGCCGCCAGGGAGTAATCCTATTGCATTTTCACCACCGCCTATCTGTAATTGAAATTCGTCTTACTCCTGCTTACCTGAAATCCTTTGATAAAGTTCTGGACAGAGAAATCATGGTACAAAAATATGTTGATTAGAACTTGCAACACTTTCTCACTTAGTTTAAAGGGAAACTGAGTTGTCAGAAGTAGCTGCAGGAGACAAAGGGAAAAAAATATTTCCTTGCTAAATGTTACCAGAATAGATTACATTTCAAGGTAAATGTAACTGCTAGTAGCAACAGCTAATTATAATAATGTTCCTTCTTGAATATGGAAATAGCAAAGCAGTTAGATCTGTGTTTGGTTCAACTCTCAGAATGTGCTAAAATTAAACTATATTAATCGATTAACGCATGTAGTCATCTTCAGCCAAACCACATTTATTTCCATTACTGCAAAAAGACACACACTTATTTAAAGCTTATGATTCCACCACATCCTGAACTTTATATTGTCTGATTTTAGTTATGTTCAAACTTGACATTAATTTTACCTATAATTTTTCAAATTATGAATGATAGAACAAATATTATAGCAGGCATCTGGGACAAAACTACTTTCTGCAAGCATATGCAATAGTTCTGCTGGCACTCTACAAATGCATTCCACTGAAATCACACGAGCAAAGTGTCTGCATGATGGGACCTTAGATTTGGATAATTCTGCTCATTTTCAAGGGGCTGCAGAATTCACATTAAGCTGCAATATTCAGTGTAAATAAAAGCTATGTGAAGCCATCCCTATTTAGAACTAAGAGAATCTTACTTCAAAGCAGCACTATAATAAAGGGGAGTGAATGAAAACCATATAGTTGTGTGTGCATGAACGTTAATACAAATGGGAAGTGAAGATATGTACCGAATAATTTCTGAATGGTCTCCAACACGTGTGAAGAGGAAACTCTCAACATATGTAAGTGAGCTTAAAGACATGTGTATACAGAGACAATATTCAGAACATATGGCTCTCAAGAACAGATCCCACTTTAAAAGCTTCACACTAGTCTACTTTTAAAGCATAAGATGCTATGTATACATACACCATACTTGTACACATCTATTCCCCCCTCATTTATCTAGAAATGGAATTACCTTGTCAATTACTGTAGCCAGGTGCTCCTTGCAGGAAAGAGACTGGAAAAGCTCTATACACAGCAGAGAAGAAACAGAGTGAGGAAGTAACCTGTGGATGATCATTGGAGACGTGGCAATTCCAAAAATGAGTACAAGAGGGAATTCATGTATGTGCTGACTAGACCACAAAGTGGGGAAGGAAAAAGAAAACATAATAGTTATGCGGGTTTCCCCAGCACCACAACCACAAGGCAACACAGTATATTCCCAATACAGCACTACTCTCAAAGGAACAACGTAAATAGACTGCTACAATTGGAACAAGATGAGTTTTGATCTGGGAAGAAAATGAAAAGGGTAGAGCGGAAATTATAAGCACCCAAGGAAAAAAAAATAAATCAAACTGTATTCTGAGGACCCAATCTTCAGGAAAATGCTTGTAAAACATCTGCTTTTAGTGTTACAGTACAGGAAAGGTTCCCCTTTGCTAGTTTTACCTAGTTGAAAAATTCCAAAATATAGTCTTCTAAATATGCCTTGAAATTATTTTCATTTCTAAGGAACAACTTTAATAAATAGTGTTGAAAGGCTCACATGGATAAAAATAATTAAATGGTGAATGAAATTATTATTTACTCTTTGAATTGCAGTAGGACCTAAGGGCCACAATCATAGATCAAGGCCTGATTGTTTTTTGTGATTATACGGTGTCTAGCACAAAACAAAACAAACAAACAAGAGCCCCAAGACTTTAAAAAGTATTGTAGTTTGCTTAAATAAAATAAAATAAAAAAATAAAGCAAGACATTTAGAATTAAACTTACAAGAAACCCAACTTTCTGAAAGTATGGAATGCAGTTAGATAATTCAAACAATTGTAACTTTCCACCCACATTAACATCCTGAGATGAACCAGAAACAACATTATTCATCTGAATTCCGAATTGCCATATCAGATCTGACCAAAGTCCCTATGTTCACCAATCCTATCTCTGATAGCAACCAATAAAAAATGCTTCAGAAGAAGGGGATAAAGTGATCCATAATTGACATTTACACAAATTAGAAAGACAAGGTGGGTGAGGTAATATCTTGTATTGGACCAACCTCTGTTGGAGAGACACAAACTGTCAAGCTACACAGAGCTATTCCTCAGGTCTCGGAAAGATACTCCGAGAGAAGAGCTCTGTGTAGTTCAAAAACTTGTCTCTCTCACCAACAGAAGTTCATCCAATAAAAGATATTACCTCACCCACCTGGTCTCTCTAATATCCTGGGACCAACACGGCTACAACACCACTGCATATTTACACAAATTAGCATTCCTATGAGAGAAGTTAATTCCATCTCCTAGAGAGTTTTGTGTTTGGCTTAGTATACGTCTTAAAGAGTCTATATTCCTTCTGTGGGTGAAATCCTCTCTCCCTTGACTTCATCTTGTTTATATCCTAGCATATCTGTGATTAATAAATATAATATATGAATAATAACACACACCTCTTTTTAAAATCTAACTAGACTCTTTGCCTCAAAAATATATTGTGGCAGTGAGTTCCAGAGTTAATTATTTGTGGTGTAATTCATGTATCTTTAGCAGTTTTAAATGTACTGCTTTTTAATTTAACTGTTTATCAAGTTGTTCATGTGTTACGAGAAAAGGAAAATTGGAATGCCCAAATAGCTCTTTCTATATATACACACGCAATACATTTTAGACCTACTATACACTCACTTACTTGTTCCTTCTCTAAAACAATCCTAAACTTCTAAATTTCTCTTTGTTTTGGAGTTTTTCCATTTCTCTTATCATTTTTGCCCTCTCTGGATCTTTTCTATTTCTAGTTCATTTTTTCTGACATGTGATGACCAGAACTGAGCACTGTGTTCAAATGAGGGTCTATCACTGCTTTATACAGAGGTATAGCCTCGTCCCTTTTCTAGTTTCATGTTATCCAAAACAGTGTTATACAATTTAACACTGCCCCTTAAAATTCACTAATATATTAAATAATACTAGCCCCATTACAGATCTTTGTAGTAGATCCCACTACTAACTTTCTTCCCTGATGAAAATTGACTATTCCTTCTTTTTGTTCTCAACCTCTTAGCCAGTTTTCAACCCATGACAGGGCTTCAACTCTAATCCCATAACTATATCATTTCCTTAGCCACTTTTTAGGAGGGATTTTGTTGAAGAATTTTTAATCAATCTTAAAAAGTTATATATACCATCTGTCCCTTATCTACTATTCTGTTGGCTACCTCAAAGAATTCTAACAGATTGAAGAAGTAGGATTTTCCTATGCAGAAACCGTGTTTTTTTTTTTTTAAACTTTATGTCATCAAGATGTTTTAACTCCATCTTTAGTATCAGGTAAATTAGTTTGTAATAACAAAGTAAAGTGCATTTGTCTAATTCCCAGGGACATCCCCAGCACCTTCTTTAAAAGATAAGGCACAACAGACTGACTGACTTCTAGTCCAGCAGTACAGTACCAGATTTTAAGGAAGACAACTTTTAATCGTACAGTTATTGCACTGACGCTAGACTTCTTCTACGCAGGTCTTCCAGGGGGTACATCAACTCATCTAGATATTTGCCTAGTTTTACAACAGGTTACATAAAAAGCACTAGCAAAGTCAGTACAAACTAAAATTTCATACAGGCAGTGACTTGTTTATACTGTTTTATATATACCATACACTGAAATGAAAGTACAATATTTATATTTCAATTGATTTATTGTACGATTACATGGTAAAAATGAGAAAGTAAGACTTTTTTCAGTAACAGTGTGCTGTGACACTTTTGTATCTTTATGTCTGATTTTATAAGCAAGTAGGTTTTAAATTGGGTGAAACTTGGGGTACGCAAGACAAAGCAGACTCCTGAAAGGGGTATAGTAGTCTGGAAAGGTTGAGAGCCACTGCTCTAGCAAACCACAGGACAAACATCCAAACTTATCTAGTGCTGGAACCCTCCCACTCAACTTCAAATATGACCTCAGCTATTCCCCATTAGACAGGCACCATGACAATAACCACCCCTTCAGGACTTCAGAACACTGGAAATTAGGTAGTATTCTAACAGTTCATCATTTCTACTGCTAACAGTGCTTGTTTCCCACTGCCTGCTCACCTGCACCACTATTGCTATTCTCAAAATTTCTGATTCAGTTTTCCATCCTCTCCATGTCCTTGTAAAGGGATACTGCATGTCCCAGAATTTTACAATCAAGAAGGGATATGTTGTAACTCCAGAGTTAGCTTGGGTGATCAACAATGAGGTCTGAGAACCCTGTTTAGCCTAGACTGGATCTCAGCAGCTGTATTGAGAAGCTGTACCCGAGTTACTGTGTCCTTACTGCTGCTGCACCCCCTCAACCACAAGTGTCGCTAGGACTTCTGGGGGCATATCCAAGGATTCTTTGTGCTGCATTTAGCTGAGTCACTCTACAATTCTTTTCCAGTGAATTATGGAGAACCTCTCTGTCCTTCTGGGCATATGGGGAGAAACACTGGAGAACCATCAGCACTCAAGTGATTTGGCCTGCATTCTCGAGGCACAGTGGGCAGGTTACTACCCCAAGCAAAAGTGACACCTGAGCTCCAGCCTTTAATTTTATGGCAACAACTAGAAAAAGTGGAAGGGAGTAAAAGAGCACCAGTCCAAAACCTCAGGGCACATTACCTGCTAATAACTATGAAGTCCTGAAGTACTTTCGTTGTGAAACTTTCCATGTCCTTGAAGATAACCACAATTGGAGGAGATTGCCAGTGCCTGGAAGAGGAAGTTCTTTTTTTGCTTGGAGTTTCAGAACCTGTTTTCTTCAAAGCCATTGTCCATATATTATAAAACAGAAGTTGGGAAAATACAAAGTAAGTCTCTTGTCTCCCATGTTATAACACTCTATTACCACATGGACAACTTAACCAAAATAAACAAAATTAGCTGTGTTTAAGGAACACATGGTACTTCTCTAATTGTGTACATCACCACTGTTCCTCTCCTGTAACCTAAATGAAACAGCTATAACAGAGAGTAGGTTAGAAAACTATTCTTCAACAAGGGCCAATCCGGCCCTTATCTCTGCAGAGCCCTCTGGTGTGGTTCCACTGGGCAAAGGGAGGGACAATTTGGGATGGGCACACAGATTTGCACCACTTCTTGTGAAGATCACAGTAGCAAGTCAGGCATGCCTGGGAATTGAAAAGGGATGAAGCATCCTCAGTTGCACAGATTCTCTATTACTCTGCTTCAGGGGCTGTGCTAACACCATAAAGGCTATTCCAAATTAGGTTAAAGCAGAATCTGCATAATGACTTCCCAGCACTGGGAGTAGAGAGGAGGATTCTTTTTCCTCCTGTCCCTCAGTAGATCTCTCCTGTATCTCAGCTGAGATACTCAAGCTACTCGGGCTGGTTGCTGGAACATGGATATTTAGGTCCCAATTTAGCAGAGACTTAAGCACATGCTAAAGTCCATTTCTATTCAACAAAGCACATAAATCCCACTGAAGTCAATGTAAATACAAAGTAATAAGGAAAATTATTCTATGGTTTTTTTGTCCAATTACCCAGTAGGAAACCAGAGGAGACCCTCAGAGTCTCAATAATTTTGGTAAAATATTTGTGTTCCTAATTTTTAGTTTTTCAATAATGAGAAAATATAAAACATTTGGAAGGTTTTGCTATTATTAACTGCCTGTGTAGTGCAGGCTTCAGATAGCTTGCGTAAAAGGCCGACTTAACACTGATCATCTGTTCTTTATACTTTGTTTTTCAAAACAAATACTTCAAGGATCTTGTCTGGAGAGAACAACATTTGGTAGGAAGTCAGATTTGAGTTTTAAGCTTCCACTACCAAAGGATTAGCATAAAACCACCATTTTTTTTGAATTATGAAAACACTTTCAAAAGTGACCTTTCAAAAAGATAGACATTAATATTTAATTAGAAACTGAATTCATACTCGTGAAAGAATACTTTTAGGTTCTGATGGTCTCAGCGTTAGGTATCACCGAGTACTAAATGAAAGACTAGCTTTGCTAGTGTTTTGACTATTAGATATAAGACTGAGTCATGCAATTAAAATTTTATGAGACTTAAAAGCCAGATATTTTGTAAAATGGCAGTATGAAAGCCTACCTTTGTTACACTCTCGTACCATTTGGAAAGAGAAGCCATTGAGCAGCGTATCTTTTTCTGGGAAATGTTAACACATTCCTCCTCTTCAGATGAGTCCACATCTACACAGCAGTCCATTAGCTGTCCCATCAGTTTCTGAAGCAGATGTTTTATGCCTTTACAACATAGAGGCACACAATGAAGAGACTCTCACCTAATTACCTAGAATTCTAACCCACACCACACCTATTTCCACCCCTCTCCCCCGATCATCCTGTTTTTGTCTTTTCTTCCCCTTCCCCAAGCTCACCCTCTCTGCAGAGCATTATTTTCAACTTCCCCAGGCAGCTCCCAAACCTCCATATATCAGGACTGCTGTGTATAACAATAGTTAACACTACTAGCTTGTCTGGTGGGGGAGGGAGGAAATCAAAGGGTCAGACACTGATCCTGCCTCTCCCTCAGGCTTGAGCAATGCACTGTTTGTGCACTGCTAGATTAACCTAAAGTTAGACTAAAAGGCTAAATAAGAGATCTGAATATATTTCTTGGAGTGGTTTTAGTCTTTTGAGTTTACAAAAAGTATATATTTGGAAGAAAATGTTATTACAGATATTCCTGATTACAGTAAAATAAGTTGCTATATGTACACACTGAAGCTCATATACATAAAGCTTTACAGAACATAGATGATGTTAGGTTTTTCATACAATATAAATACGTATCCATGAGGCCTGTTCTTGGCATTAAAAAAACAAACAAACAAACAACAACAACAAAACACAGGTGTCATTCTCCTCACTATGAAAATGTCTCAGAGACATGAAGTTGGTGGCTGAAAGAGAGGAGACTAGGGTTTGCAGAGGGAGATTTCAGTTTATAATTGAATATTTGCTGTGACAGATGCAGTATCTTTGGGGACCACTTACTAAAATGTATGAATGGTTTATGTTTGTGCTCTAGTCTACTCTATGGAAGAGGGTTACTACAGCTCCTCCAGAAACTAAAAACTGTGTATTGAGGAAGGTGATTAAGGTGAGTCACTGTAACTAAACAACTCTAGAGAGGTACAACCCTTGGGGAGGTTTGCATATACTAGTTCAAACTGGGTGTTCCAGAGACTCAAACTAAGAAGTGGCTTTTGGTATAAAAAACTGAGCTTGAACTGACACAGGTTCTTTCTTTTGATTCAACAAACAGACCCTGCTGAAAGGTTGGAAAGATTTTGGCTTACTAGGCTCCTATAAGACTGGTGGGTGACTCCTGATCTGTTTAGTGTGTGTTTAAATCCATTTATTGGGGCTCTCTCTCACACACAAAGCTTTTGCCCTAAGAATAAATGTCCTTGCTTAGAAAGAGCTGTTTGGATTACTGGTAAATCACACCTGTCATGGCACTTGGAGAGAAAGGTAAGCCCAGGTGCTGGCCTTAAGGCAGACTGTCTTGCTGCAGATGTCACATTGTATCGAACGTGGCTATACAGCTGTAAAACCCCCGGTTAAAAAAGGGAATTTGACAGAGGTCCCTTCCCAGAGACAAGTGATGGCTGGAGGCTTGACACCTGATTGGGCACCCTAGAGTAGACCAGGGAGGGAAGAATACAGGTGAAGTTACCCTGAAACCATGATAGTTATTACATCTACTTCTTCCCGAGGCTTAAAATAAGAAATGGTTGGACCAAATATAAAATTATTAATAAAATCTTAAAATATGCAACAGCTTTATTTCAAATTGAACAGGATGACAAAGATAGAATAGTTTCCCACAAGAAGTGGTGGAATCCTCATTGTTTTAAACAAAACTGGACATAACTAGAATGTATTGCAGAGAACAATCCTGCATTGTCAGGAGATTGGACTAGATGGCCTAAAAGGCCTTTTCCATCCATAATTTTTATAATTCAAAAATATAAGATAGAATTTATGGTTAATGGCATTCACCATTTGAACAGGTTGTTAAAGCTATTACGTTATATACCTGGGCATTCTTTGGCTTGCAGTGAGACTACATAAGGAGTAACGTTATCCTGAAGAACCTCTGAGAGACTTTTAAATGTCACGTCATGATCTGTAACATTTACACCTAGAAGGAAGAAAAATCAATACTGGATTATCCCCGTTTATTATCAGAATCATTGAATGAGAAGATATCCCAAATAGACGAGAAAGAGAATAGTGAAAAAATGACAGGTCACCTGTAAGTTATGAAGAAAATTTGTATTCAGAATTCCGTATTAGTGATGGCTGATTAAAATCAATGGTATCACAGACTACTTTCTCTCTCTAGAGACAGCAACAGAAATATCCCTCAAGCTCCTTCCAGGAGGAAGGAGACCTAAATATTTCTCAGTTATTTTTTTAACAGTGGTTTGATTCCTGTTGATGCAATTCTGCATTGGAGTCCACTTAACAAGCTGTCAAGAACACTCATTAGCAAGAATGAGGAAAAGCCAGTTCTTTTGTTATTCAGAATTTTGGAGGGATGGAGAAAGACAACGAAGGAGTCATATACTACCACTATACCAGATCTCAGAACTCAAGCAGGTTTTATCATCTCTCTCCACCACAACCTCCAAAGAGTCTAAAGATTAGTGATGTACACATTAGATTTTTAAGGGGAAATTGAAACAGCTGCTTAGTTATTTCTTTTATCCCCACTTCCAAGGAGGAAGGACTGGAACTCAGAAGATCTGAGTTCAATCACCAACTCTGCCATAGGCTCCCTGGATTTGTGTACAATAGGAACATTTTCTAACCAACTGTAAAACTGTTTCAGCTAAACCAAATTTAAAAAAAAAACAACAGATAGAACCATAGCACAGACCTAATTTTAGGAGGACCCTGAGAGTGGGGAAGATCCTAGAACCCAGGCTCCAGCCCGAGAGTCTACACTGCAATTTTACAGCCCCACAGCCCCACCCAGAGTCAGCTGACACAGGCCAACCGAAGGTGTTTTCTTGACATGCAGACATAGAATCAAAGAAGATTAGGGTTGGAAGAGACCTCAGGAGAGCATCTAGTCCAACCCCCTGCTCAAAGCAGGACCAACCCCAACTAAATCATCCCAGCCAGGGCTTTGTCAAGCCGGGCCTTAAAAACCTACCCTAAGGGCAATATCCTGGCCCCACTGAAGCCAATGGCACACTCCCATTGATTTCTGTGAATAAAATCCTTGCCCAAATCTCTCTTTTTCCCTCACTTCCTCATTTGTCAAAAAGAGAGACAACATATACAATTGTATCTAATGTTAAAAAAGCAACTTTAGACTTGAGACTAAGGCTTATTCACCAAAAGACTCCCCCTTTTTTAATATAATGATCCCCATGAAGGCTAAAGGCCTGTAACAGGATCAGCACCCGCCTCTCATGCATGCCTCCATTTCTCTGACCGATAGTGCCTGCAAACACAGTTCTTTTCATTGGGGGGGGGGGGGGGGGGGGGGGAGGACACACACATCTCGTGGATGGCCCCCTTTCTCTTGGTTAGGTGCGAGCCTGCTTTTGGTTTTTTGTTCTTTCAATGGGGTGGCACCCTCCTCTCGCAAGCGCTCCTCCCCCCCCCGCCCTGTGGTTCTCTCGGCTGGTCTTCGGCAGCTCAGCCCTCCAGCCGAGCCACACATGCTGTCCCCCCTTCCAGGATATACAGTCCCATGTTCTTATCCCGGCTCTGATATGGGGCCGTAGCTCTTAGGCTTCTTCCCAGAGACACTGCCTTCTTCTGACACCTACCCAGGGCCGCAGCCCTCCCTGGGTTCAGTCTTTAACCAGACCAGCAGGGCCCATCTCGGTACCCTCGCCTGGTCTGGGCAGGTCCTGGTCTCAGTCCCCCGGGCTCAGCCTGCCCGCACTGACCTTTTCATGGTCCTGCTGCTCTTCTATCCAGCCAGCCAGGCACCCAGTCTTTGGCAACCTTCCCTGGGCTTGGTTCTGCCTCCGCAGTGAGCTATCCAGGGACCTGCTGCTCAGCCAGCCAGCCAAGCACCTGGTTCTCCCTCTTCAAGCTTCAGGCAGGAACTGAAGGCTGCTCTGCTGCTTGCCTTTTATCTGGCTCTTCTGGACCCTTATTGGTCACTCCAGCAGCCCCTCTGACTGGCCGTTCTTCTACAGCCACTCTAGGCTGCCTGGAGGACTTCTCGCTGCTCTATTCTGGGACAAGGTGATGGAGGGCTGCGAGGCCTCCAGACCTAGTCCAACCTGCCACAGGGTCTCATAAATTCAGACTGCTGTTGGTAATGTAACTCCCTGGGTATTGCATTAGCTTATATGTTGTGAGAGTGCCCCAGTATCGAGAATTTCTCTTATGAGGTGGGTCAAAGGACCAGTTTGATATTGGATGCTAAGTTGAAGCCCTCCTCCTTAAATTTCATCCATGGATATATTCCTGATACCTGGAGGTTACCTGGTAACAAAGGGGCATGGTCCCAATGGTCAACACTGGTAACTAAAAAAATTAATCCTGAAAAAATGGAAAAGTCAATCCCCACCAAACACTGATGTGTAGCTCAGTGATATGGCTGACTTTGCATCTGACAGATGACTTGCATTCTGCAGAAGCGGAATGTCCAAAAAATTCAAAGCAATTTGGGCTGACTTTTTAAGAGGTCTGAGTATTATAGCTCTTTAAGGTAGATATCTTGCTTCCCCTCCTATCCCTGCTCTTCAATCTAACCTCTTTACTTACTTTGAGTATTATGATGAATCTGGTGTTTTGGTATATTTGTTGTATTTGGAAAAATAAAAACTATAAATAAAAAATAAGGACAATATTTGCCTATCTCGAAGGAGGATTGGGAGAATAAATTCATAAATATACATGAGGCACTCATATCCCATGGTAATGGATGCCATATTAAAAAACCAAGATAATCAGACAAACCACACAGCATGTTGGTGGTAGTAATGGGAATAGAAGCCAAATGTTCTGATGTCCACTCCCTCCTATTGCCTAAGGCAAAATCTATGGTGGAGATGCTCTCACACTGTGCCTTCATACATATGGGAAAAACAAGAGGAGAACTAAAACCAATACAGCTTTCCTCTGATTCTTGTCTGTTAATGTTTCTGAAGTTCAAGCTGCTTGCTCCAATAGCTGGAAGGCTCCAAATCAATTTCCTTTGATCTTTAATCTAATCTAGAGATTTGACAGATGTATCACAAAGTGTCTTAAAATACAAAAAAGTTACCTAGGACAAGAGCTGCAGTAGGAATTTCACTGGATTTCATCCGACACATCCATTCTGTCTTCTTTGTTTGGAATTCAGAGTGAGATTGTCTCAGAAAACTTATTAGGTTATCAAATAATTGTTTATTGAGTTCTTCTTGTATTTTCTAGAAAACATATAAACGCATACACACAGCTTTTATTATACATAGGTGGGGAGACACTGGAGTCCCCCTTTTCCCACTTCCCTCTTGTCACTTTACTGGTTGTTAAAAGCCCCAAAGCAAATTATCCAGGGTCCAATTCTAAATTAATATTCTGTTTTTCTGCCATTTATGACCAGAGTGTATAATTTATTAGGTGGTAGAAACAGAAGAGTTGCTTTCTGTTTTCCCTTGATGCTTTGATCAAATATCTCAATAATTCAGGGATACTGCATCTTTGTTTAAGTATGTTGCTGCATGACAGGTTGAACAGTAATCTTAAAAATCATTCAGGCACAGAGGAGAAAAAAAATGTATTTAGCTATGAAAAAGCAAGTGACCTCGATGTACAAAACAGTGCAATTATTTTCTGGCAGGATGTCCATGCCTACTCCTCTTATTCCCTATTGTCTTACAGAATACCTACAAGCATTTTCTGTGTGAATTCTACAGTTACACAGGAGAGTCAACATTCAATTTCTTTAAATCTAAACAGAAAAAAATCAGCTAAGGAAAGTATTAGGCCTAAATGATGAAAAAGTATCTTCAGCCAACACATGCCTTATTTGTCACCATTCCTCTACTCCCTTTTATCCTTGAAAAATTATTTTCATACTGGGATCAACGTGAAAAAAATAATTAAAAAAATCAATAAAGACAGATATACTTTTGCAGTATTTTTCTACTTCCTTCGATTATCAAACGTGTTTATTTGTGGTTCTCTACCTCCAGCCCAAAATATTTCTTATGCTGGAATACACAGGGAAGTTGTAGTCCTGTTTAGGAATATCAGAAAACGTAATGGACAGATGGTTTCACCTCTACCAACCAAAACCTAATCACATACTTCTTACAACAAAAATCACTTATGGGGTTGGCTTTCGGGGCTGTGACCAGCCAGCTGCTGCCTCCTCTGAGCCTTAGGCATCTTAACACTTTATTTGCTTTTTTGACCACTACTGCACATTGAGTACACGGTTGAATTGAACTGTTCTACCAAGACCCTAGAGCTGAGTGAATAATTTATTTTTTGATTCAGTGGTGGAACAAAAAATCTCACCCCCCCCCCCCAGCAAATTTTTCCTTTGTTTTAAACCAAAACCTGAATTTTTTCATTGTTTCTCCCTCAAATGAATTTTTTTTTATTCTGGTTGACTGAAACATTTCAAACATCATCTCAAAATGAAATGTTGAAATGGTTAGTTTAGAAAAATGTCAACAACAAAAAATCTGACTTTCAAAATTTTCCCCCAAAACTATTTGTGGAAATCGATCTGCATATTAATATTAATAATTAATTAATAATAATGAGCTGCATGGAAGCAAGCCCTGATTTAAACATATCTCTTTGGTAAACACAGCCAGAAAAGTATAAAACCCCACTACCTATCACTGCTTTTATGTTTTTAGTCAGTTATATTAAGTTCACCACAGGCTGCAAGTTCTTCTTTAAACACGGAGGGAAGTGGGGGAGAGAAACAGGTGAAGAGGGAAGGCTAGTAGGCAGATTATCTTCTGGGATTGCTTTCCCTCAAAAAAATCCCACCATAATAAAAATCTCTCTTCATCTGCTCCATCTTGCAATGTTAAACTTATTAAAATGTTTTGGGCTCCTAATTATAGGCTACTTAATTTCATAAGGCCTCAAGTAACCAAGCGGTTGAGGAAACATTTTATTTTTCCTAAAACGGTCTGCTTCATTTGAGGTGGTTATCATTATAGCACTTCTCACTGGTATATAAAAGACACTGTTGACACCAGTTCATCAGACTAAGCGCTCAGCCATATTAGCACGTGTCCGTCTTCCATTCACCAGTGTGCATTCTAATCCAAAATGGACCTTGAGATGCCCTATAAAAAACTGAGGTTTAGAGCAACCTAAACTTCACTGTGGGTTAGAAAACACACAACTGGATTTGAAGCAGACAGTGGCAATACACCAGGATACAGCAAAGAAGACCATCAGTAAGGTAAGAAGGGGAAGCTTATGCACCAGAATTGGTATGTGTGTCATGGTTAGAAACAGTGTACCAGTGGTGTTTTTTATATGTTCCTCATGGAGGTTTCAGTCTCACTCCACATTTCTGGCTCTCTTCCTGCCTCAGATCATTCATCTTTTCTGCAGGTAAAGGAAATCACTCAGAAAAATAAGAACAAAACAAAACACCAGAATTGATTTAAAATGTAAAATGTATAGTTGGTATTAAGTAGCAGGACGCACCTCTGTTTCAGAATTGATCTGCTTCCATAACAACTGACAAGTAGCAAATCGAAGACTGCTGTCCTCTGAATCATTTTTACCTTCACTAAAATAGTCAGCTGGAAAAATACAAATAAAAGGCAACCATAATAGTGTTTATAAAAACAAAACTTTTTTTCATAAGAAAACTAGACAATGGCTGAAAAGGAAATCTATCCTCAATCATAACAAGCCATTATTTATCTACTAACTGCATGTATCTCTATCAGGTAGGCAGAACAAGTGAGGGAAGTATATTGAGGCTGTTGCCAGAAGGAGTTGGTGAATGAGCTGACTTTCACCACTGGTCCCAGATTGAGACAAAAAGATAAATAAATATATACAGACATACATACCCTAGCTCTTATATAGCACTTTTCATCCACAGATCTCAAAGCAGTTTACAAAGGAGGTCACTATCATTATCACCATCTCTAAAATGCAGGAACAGAGACAGAGGTGACTTGCCCACCTCAGCCAGCAGGCCAGTGGCAGACTCAGGACTAGAACCCAAACCTCCTGAATCCTTGTCCAATGCTCTTTCCACTACGCCAGGGGTTCTCAAGCTTATTCTTTCTGAGGCCCCCCTCCCAATGTGCTATAAAAATTCCACAGCCCACCTGGGCCACAACCATTGTTTTTCTGCATATAAAAGCCCGGGCCAGAGTCAGAAGCAGGGCAATTGCCCAGGGCTCCAAGCCACACGGGGCCCTGCGAAGCTAAGTCGCTCAGGCTTCGGCTTCAGCCCCAGCCCCGGGTGGCAGGGCTTGGAGCCCTGGGCTTCAGCCCCAAGCCGGGGGGCTTTGGCTTTCTGCCCTGGGCCCCAGCAAGTCTAATGCCGGCCCTGCTTGGCATATCCTCTGAAACCTGCTCGCGGCCCCCCAGTGGGCCTCGGACCCCCAGTTGAGAACCACTGCACTAGGCCACCCTGCTTGGCAACCATCCACATCCCGCCTTGCAGCTGGATAAACTAGCATTGTCTCCCCTATTATAAATATCCCCCTTCCCTAACTGTCCAACTTGTTTCAGTCCGTCTCAGTCCACGCAACCAACCAGCCATGGGGTCTTCCACAGTGCCTTGCAGTAGGTCTCTGGTCCCCCTCCATTATTCCACAGTAACATCAGGTCTATACTAGAAAGGCTTTGCCAGTATAGCAATACCAGCAACCTCCCAGTGGAGATGCAGTTTATACCAGAAGAAACTAAAGAACTTGGGCAGGGACCATCTTTTTTGTTGAGTGTTTGTACAATGTCTAGCCCAAAGGGGTCTTGGTCCATAATCAGGGCTCCTAGAATGGCATAATACAAATAATAACTTTTGCCACTATATCTTATTCCAGTTCCCCAACCGGGAAAAGCACATTTGTGGTGATATCACAGTGTTTACATTTGCCAACATACCTATGTCAGTTGGGGGGTGCATGTGATTTTTTCACACTCCTGACATATGCTAGCAAAACTTTTAAGTGCAGACCAGGTCTAAGTTTCTGGTCCCCATCTCCAACCTTCCCTCACCCCCCTGAACTTTAGAGTTAATAAGCACCTCTTAAATATCAGACCCTCTTTGTTAGCAGTGTCCTGACGTCTCTCTGCTGAGACATTCTGCACTCAGCTTCCTAGGTACCCTGTTTGCTACCCCGTAATGCCGGCCCTGGCTTTTATATGCAGAAAAACAGTAGTTGTGGCAGAGGCGGGCTGTGGAGTTCTTATAGCATGTTGAGGGGGGTCTCAAAGAAAAATGTTGAGAACCCCTGGCTTAGAGGACAGCTAACACTACGTGGAAGGGTACAATGGCTGACGGTTATATAAACAGTTCAGTTAACTGTCAGGGCAATGCAGGATTGAATACAATGATTAACTTTTCTCTTTGCAATAGCAAAGACATGAAAACAAAAATAAATGTTACAACAGAACTGTAAGTTCCCTTTAATAATCAGATACTAAGTAATCAGCTGCAGTCTAGTCACTAGAAATTACTCCTGGGGGGATTCTGCAGGACTGCACGCCCGCAGAAAATGGCAGGGAAGCAAAGGGAAGAGCATGGGGGCAAGGGGGTGACCATGGGTGCAGTTTTTTGGGGGGGATTGCCCCCCCTCCAAACAGAGGCGAGGCATGGGGGGGGACACACAGGGTTACATGCCACTTGCGCCCCCTCCCCCATTCTACAAGCGCAGCGCTGCCCAGCTAAAGGAAGCTGTCTCTCCATGGCTCCGCTAATTCTGCAGTTGAACGCAGCCTCCTGGATCCCAGTGCCAGTCCTGCTCCCCTTCTGTGTTCTGGAAGCCTTCCTGTTTTCTATTCCATGAAACAGTGAGTGCCCGCGGTGGGCCTGGGGGAAATGAGGGAAGGGAGGATGAGGGGATGGTGGGGAAGAGACAGTGGGGAAGGAAGGGGGTGGAATAGGGCAGGGAGAGGGAATGTGGGAGTGAGGGGGACGGAGAAGACAGGGGAATCATGGGGGGGAAGCAGGAGCCCGGCATGCAGCGTCCCCTCAGCAGCAGCTGGGGCTCCCCCGTTAAGCAGGCCCATTGAACCCTCACCCTGACAAGCCCGACCCCTCTACACCTGGACCCCTCCGACAAGCCCCCACACCCAGAACTCCACCCCACTGATCCCCAACCAGCTGCACTTGGACCCCACCCCATCAAGCCCCACACCCCCAGCACCCAGATCCCCCACTGAGCCCCCCACACCCAGACACC